TAAGTTAACTATTTCTAGGTAGTGACACCAGCAATGGTCCTGAATCTTAGTTTCTTTAAATATAATTCTATCAATTTGTGCATTTGTCATTAAACATTATTTTATAAAAAATAGTAAGTTAAATAACTCCAACAGCTGGAAGAGAAAAAGATATTATTAATCACCAGTGAAAGCATAACTCTCCCATGTAGTATTCTCACCCTATTTTCTTAGTTGATGCTAATTATATCCTCTGCCTTTCAGAATTATGATTTCTGCATGACTAACACAATAGGTCATAGCTACATCTTTGCCACTTTTCAGCCATTCTTCTGTAATACCAGTTTGCTTTGGATAGAGTAGATAAGAGACCCACAATTTGATGCATTTATCATAGTATTTTTATGAGATTATTCTTGTACCACCCATCATAGTTGACTTCTATGATATACTTCATTGCACTGCACAGAAACAGGAATTTATTGGCAATAGTATTCTATTTGGGCCACCAATGTGTATATGACCTGGTCTCCGAATTTATGAACTAAGTATTGAAATACACACAAATGCATACATTCACACACAAGAAAGTTATCCTAGTTCGCAAGGGCTAAATTATTCACAAAAACTGAATTGTTTACTATTCAGTTGTCTATTTCTTTCACCTTTGTGTTGAACCACTACTATTACACACATCTTGTTTCTCTTTGCTAGGAGTCACTGTCGTTTTCATCTGTCCATTCTCTCAGGCTTTTTTTCTTGCTCTCTTATCTCCTGCCTCTTGTTCATTTTCTCTTGATTAATCCTTCAAAAGACTTTTCTTTCTTAGAGACTACTAGTCTTTAACTTCTGCATGCCAGTCAAATAATTTTGCTTGAAATCATTGGTATTGGGCTTTCTAAGTTTCATGTGTTCTTCCTGTTGGTGCCTCAAAAGTTCCTTTTTCACTACCATTGTTGGTAAATTCTAAATTCTGAAATATTCTGAATGCCAGAGTGTTCTCTAGAAAGCTCATCAACACACCTCAGGGTCTTAATGGATTTTTTAACATATACCTGTATCTACAAATCTTTTCTCATGTATTCAATGTTTCATGCTTAGAGTTTAAATTAGTTCTAATATCTACAGCTATTTAATTCTGTGATGGAAAGATGATCTATCTAAACTAGCCTCTCTATATAAATTGCAACATTCACTGCCATTAAAGTTGACAGCAAGCTAATGGATTCCAAAGAGATCCATTTGCTATGTACAGACAGGATATTGTGGGTGTCTTTAATTTAAACAAAAATGTGATCTAAACCTCAAATTATGCCCCATATACTTATTTATTATTAACTAGAGACCCAATGCATGAAATTCATGAAAGAGACTCTTCCCTCCCTCATCCCCCCCAACCCCACCACTGGGGCTGCCTCTGCCTTGGCCCCTGCCTGCCACTGCAGCTGCCTCTGCCCTGCCCCCCACCACCCCAGCTTTGTCCGGAAGGTCATCTGGAAGGACGTCCAGAAGATGTCCAGTCTAATTAGCATATTATGCTTTTATTATTATAGATTTCTTGACATGGTTCTGGTTTGTTTCTGGTCTATACAACAGATATACTGTACAAGTATAAAGCGTAGAAGATTAAGGGAAGTGTACAGAATACAGAAAGCTAATGTTAAAATTGATGCTAAAATAAAAACCATTCATCTGGAAATTCAGAAATTTAAAAATTCAAAAGAAATATGCACAATCTAAATTTAAGATTATAAACTATAATGAACTTATTAATAAAAATAAATGTATTCTATTATTTTTATGCTAGGTATAAAGCACTCCTAAATTTTAAATTTTATGTCTAGGATGAGTGAACACACTCGACACAGTCAAAAAATAAGTCAAGTATGTTACTGAATCAGAGCAGTCTGGGAATTAAATTTAGGGAAATTTTAGAAGCAATAAACAAAACTCAGATTTGTGACCACCATTGTAATTCAATCAAATATTCAATAGAAATAATCACATAGTGAAATCTTATACTCTATTCATTCATCCAATAAATATTTGGTTCTTACTTTGTGTAAGGCATTCTAGGGGATACAATGAGAAATATGCATGGACTTTGCCCTCATGGGGCTTACAGTCTAATATGGAAAAAAAATAAGCAAGCACTTAACATAACATAATGGAGAAAGTGATGTGTCATAAGAAAGACTCAGGCAATGTGCTCCGGAAGTCATTGACACTGACAGACATTTTTTTACTGTTTATCTAAGTATCTAACAAAAATATGAAGAAAGACCAGTGATCACCTTACAAAATTAGGTGCCAAATTTTGTGAATCTAAGGGTGAAAAAGCTGCAATATTAATACAGTTTAAGTCACTACTCACTAATTCTTACAAATGTTGGATCACTGAGTAACGACCTATAAGAAATACAAATTTTCCAGTGTTTATAAGTAGATATAATAGAATAATCTAATATTTAGAAACAAAAAGATCATTTTAATGTAATCAAGGTTCAATTTATTAAAAATACTCATGACACATTACCTTCTCACACAGAAATTGGCTCAATTAGATTAAAGTGATGAAGAATTCCTCGATGGCTCAAGTGTGCTCCAAGGAAAGCTAGAAGGTTGTACAGTTAACTCCCAGGGTATAACTCTAAACCATACAACCTACTACCTCAACCCGGATGCACACAGCTTCCACTGTCGCTTCAAACTCCTTATCACATCTTCAGTCAGCTCCTCCAAATATGGCGGCCATACACCTAAGGGCTTGGCAAGGATGTAGATATAATAGTCTAACATTTTACCAATTAGCTTACTATGTGTCTACTAGGACTATTCTAACCTCTTGGGTTTCCAGCATAGGTCAAACAAAATGTCCTCTGACATCTCTCCCGGCATAGCTGTACTAGCAATTAATGCTATTAAAAGTCAATAGCATTCAGCTTCCCTTTTCAAGAGAAAAAGGCTTACTAGTAACACATAAATCCAAACATCTTTAATTTTCCTTTTGAAGTTGATGAGGTACACTAACCACTATAATGGGAACTGGCATTTCTGGGCAGGCTCGATTCAGATCTTTCATAACTTGCTATAAAAAAATCCAAGTTTCTTAATCAATTTACTCTACGTGCGTTCAAATTTGAATGGCTTTGCAGCAAACTCTTCCAAGTGGTCAACAATTAAACCTGCCTTGTAAGACAGATGAAGATTACTATATACATAAAAAAACAAAATATAATTACTTCAAAAGTAATCAACTAGATTTTTACAGGAGTTTGATTGAAATATTAGTTAACAGCATTGTGTATAGGATTTTGTCACATCACCACACTGACACAGACCCATAGAAGCGAGCTTGTGCGGTCCACTTCACCACAAGATCGGATCTACGGGTTTATGCCAATGGGCAACATCTCATTAGAGTAGGATTTGTTGAAAATATCTGATGAAATTAGTAGATGAAAATAATAATACTGATCCTTTAGTATAAATATGTTAAATGCTGAAATGCTCTAAGTATGCCTATCCCCGTCATAAATATTCTAAACTGAATGAAGATTTTATATACATAAGAATTTAAAAATACTGTATTGAAAGATTTTTCCAGATTACTTATGTTTTAATAGTATTTTAGAATTAGACTATTCTAACAAATGATGAGTTTTAAAAGAAAAAATAATCCATACATGCATGTATGAATTATGTAATTGTGAGGCATGAATATAGTGTTATGAGCCTATAATTAAGACAAAATTAACTATTAAGCTAATTGTGTAAGAGTTAGCCTGTGTTTGTTCTAATTCTTTTAAAGCTTCAGTTAGTGGTTTCAAGGAATTGATAACATATAACTTTCTCATAAATAAGTAAAATGTTGTTGACTAGGCAGAGTACTGAAGGAAGTTATTTAAAAGTCCTAAATATAGCTGGCCTTAGTTAGAATAATACTGAAATTAACAATACTTAGATAAATAAATATTAGAAAACTAAATTAATCACACATTTATAGCATTATTACTACTCCTGTGCGCTAACATTTATACTCCAGATCTATTTCATAAAACAGGATATCATCCCTCTTATACACCATATATTTAAATGTATTTTTCAAAAATAATTTATTTAAAACATAACGTATGACTACGTACATCTCTCATCTTGTCAACAGGTTGGGTTTATTAAAAATATTTAAATCACCAGACCATGATCAAACATACAAGAATAAACATAAAGACAGCCACATATATGTTTTTTAAGACTCTAAACTCAACAGCAACAAAATTATAACTTGTGCACTCATTAGTTGTTTTACTCATATCCACATATTTAGCATTTTTCAATTATACCTTCATTGTGAAAAATAGTAGCACTACATAAAAATTACTGTATATTTACATATTTTGAAATAAATAATATAAAATGTATTTTATAAACTTTACACACAGAATTTGGTCTCCATAATTTTTGCCATTATTTGTTTTCAAATTATTCTAATTAATAAGTTTAAAATATTAACATTCAAGATTCATGCATTCAATTATAGTAAAATATTTCAACATAAGTTCACAAATTCAGATGTGCAATAAATGGTAGCATCTGTTTTGGATTTATCATAACTATAAAAATGTATATTTTGGTTTCATTGTCTTATTAGATCATATGTTTTTAAAAAATCATGACTTTATTCCCTCCTCCCAGATTTCACTTCCTTTTATATGGCACAACAAATTATAAAATACGCTTTTCCTTCTTTTCCTAAACAACTTCCTATTCAACCATATTTCAGCTATGTTATATGTATGGATGCCTCCATACACATTCAAAGTGACTCAAACAGTATCTTGCTCATAAACTCAGACAAAAATTTTTCAGAGGCGGGTAATATAAATTCTCAAACCATCAATTAAAACCCCAACAGCTAGATTCATAAAGAATATGAAACTAATTCTTATAACTAACACAGTCAAAATTATTTTGTAATCAAAATATTAAATATTGATTGCTTTTTTACTTTTTATTTTTACCTGAGATGATTTTCTCCTATGATCACTTTCTTCACTTCTCATATCCATTTTAAGTTTGTCCCTAAAACAACCACAAAAGGAGAAATATCAGACAACTGCTGTCTAGAAGGAGCATCTGAGTGGGAGTGAAGGTAGACGATCGAGAAGAAAACACAATATCAAAATGGGCAAAACCTTTTAAACTATTTTTTTTTAAGGCTTGGACGACTCATAGAGCCCCACCCAAGGCTACTCATATGACATATAATGTGGTTTCATAGTTTGCATTTATGCATTCATTTTAGTTGGTGTTATTTTCACAGTAACAGTTTTGAAAGTGAAAGGAGGCATGACTATTAAAGAAGCGACTAGGTTTTGTACAATGAACTAGTGAAAGCTGAAAAGAGATTTGGATTTGGCATGAGCTTAATAAGATAATTAAGAGTGTGGAGATTAATGGTTTCTAAAAATAACATTTAAAATAATGTTTTTCAACTGAAGGATCTTGAAACATAAAAACAGGTTTATAAATGTTAATTAGGACTGTGAAAGTTGATGTTCCATTAGCTAAGGCAGCATAAAGGAACAAAAGCTCTTTAAAAAAATAATTAGGGAACAATAGCCCATAAACTTAATAAAACATTTTATTTGAATGTTATCAGTATATAGGATATTTGTAATTCCCCATAATTCTTTGTAGAATAACCAAAAAGAAAGTAGAATTCACCAGTTCTATATTTATTCATTGTCTCCCCTATGTATTTTCAATATAATGAAATATGATTTTAAAAGCACAAGTTTGCTAATGTTTAGTATTTTCATGGAAAATATGATAGTATCAATTTGTAATATACAGATTATAGGCTTCATTTATACATTCTATTATTTCAAAAGCATTTTATTTTTTAAACAATTTTAAACATAATTATAAAGTTTTAATCAAAATTAAAATAGGTAGCATACATCTGTTAATCCTTACCCATTGAACGAAGCAAAACTGGGTTTTACTATAAAATACTTAAATTCCTTAGCTACTTAGTTATACAAATAGACATAATTATTAGAATGCAATGTATTTATCTGCTGAGCCAATACATTACTAGAAACTTAAAACAAGTTTATATGTACTTTTCCCACTAAAATACTTAATGGCTATTTCCAATGCACTCTGCAACGGCTCTAAGACAAATACTTCTTTTAAAGTATATTTTAAAAGACAGTATTATTGTGAAACAAGCTTCTTTTTTCCTAGCAACTGAGAACATAATCTTTTCAGCCCTATTTTGGTTATACTGAAATCCTGGTAAAATATTTAAATATAGATCCCCCCTAACTAATTTTATTTACCAGCATTTTAATGCATATTCTAATATGACCCCCCCTTTTTTTAGGAGTCCAAAAAGTTTCTCGTTTCACACTTAAAATTAGGAGTCACAAGCACATGAAAGATTTAGTTTCTTTAGCAAATAGGGCTAAACACTCAGTTTTCTTAGATAGCAAAAACTAATCCTGTACGCAAAAAGCACAGATAACATATGAATGTCTTTCCAAAACTTCTATGGATATCAGACATAAAAACATGTACCAACTTTTTCATAGAGATTTTTCTATTTTAGTTAGTTGCTATTCTAATCAGGATTAGAGCAAGAGAGCACAAGGGAAAAGTTAACAAGAGTAAAGTGGGTGATGAGTTAAGAGTAAACTGAAAGTTCAAGGATTCCCTCTTAGAGAACAGTAGGCTTAAAAAGAACAACAAAAAGAGTTATACCTGATATGAAAGGTGCGATTTCACCAAGTGGAACACATTGCTAATTAGGCCTTATTTTTGAAATAATAAAGGAAAAGAAGGCTCATTTGCTCATGAAGCCTTACAAAGCTGCTTTACCAAGCTCGATGCCTCTGGAGTTATACAAGCCAATGTTTGCTTTTTTTTTTTTTTTTTTAGTTTGTTTTGGTTTGGATTTTTGTTTGTTTTTGTTTTTGAGCAGGGAAGTCTCATTTTTTTCATCACTGTTGCATGGAGTGGGACACACTCAGGTTTCTTTTTTTGCATTTCTTCAGGGCTCCTGTGATTTCTTGCAAAAAGGACGAGGGTGCTCGTCTTCTTTTTCTTCCTTCTCGGTATTCCAGGCACAAAGCACTGCGCAGGAGCTGCACCAATCCTTGCCGGCCCTGGCAGCGCAGTGGTCGAAGGTGGGAGAGACCAGGAATCCTTCCAGGCTGTGCTGACTTCAGAAATGAGGATTGCACACGTTGGTCTCCTGAACCAAAAGGGTGAGAAGGCAGGGTGCCAGTTTGCTACATTGCTGCAATGATCTCATGATCACTGCTGCTGTCGTCCTGTTTGCCCAGTTCAAATGCCTGTTCATTATAAACCAAAAAAAAAAAACCCCAAAAAACCTCACAAAGAAAACCAAAAAACAAACAAAAAAAACAACTCCTTGGATTCTTCAGCAAGCAGAAATGATACGAACATTAAAAAAAAAAAAAATCAGCAGTAAGAAAAGGCAAAAAACCGAAATGCACAACACACAATTTTAGGATTCACTTGTTATGCCTCCATATTCTGTTTATATTTCCCCCCCCCTTTTTTCCCTTTTCCTATTTAGAGATAAGCAGCAGAATTTATCAGGCGTGAAAGGGACAGCCTCCTGGTGGCCTGCCAAAAACCCAGAATAAAGGCGAAGTTGTGCTTCAAAGCTCAGTCGCTTGCTGAGACTGGCTAAAGTCAAGTATTAAGATCCACCATTTTCTGAGCCGGGCTAGAAAAGAAGAAAAAAGTCAGGACGGTTGCTGCTATCCAAGTCTCCGTTGGCACCATCACAAAATCTCAGTCGTCAGGTCACATGGTTCTCTGCCAAATGTAGAGTGCGTTCCCATCAACCATTCTGCTGATACTGCGAAGGCAGCTATTGTCTCGTTTAGACCCAAAGTTCAGCCCACTCTTCATTGAATTAGCTGGAAAAAAAAAAACGCATCACCTTTGGGGGCTGGGAGTCATGGAAACGTCTACCTGGCAAGCTGCCCACTTTTTCTGCCCATCAACCAGAGATGGAATTGTGCTGCCTAATGCAATGATGACTTGGAATGTGAAGAGTCGTCCAAAGTGAATCTGATTCTTGCAATGCCTGTTTGCACAGAAAACTCTGGCTTCTTGTAGTTCAGGGGCGGGGAGGGAAGAATCTTTCCTACTAAATGTAGCAAAAAAAAAAAGGTCTGAACATGCCTACTCTGCAACTTTATTTCACAACACACCCAAATGGCTCTCAAATGAAAAGACTGACCGCCCTGCAAGTTTTCTAAGTTGAAGGCACCCTTTCTCTGTTTCCTTTTCCTCACGATTGAACGCAACAAGCAACACACGCCCAGGACATTTGTTTTCATTTCTCACATTAAGATTTAAAAGCTCGGAGAGTCTTCTTGCGTTTTATTACTTTCTGATTTAATCTGGTACTGATTTTGTCCTAAATGGCCACAATATCCACCGGCAGCAGTGGGGACGCGTGACTGCTGCCATCTCCCTCCAAGTGGCCCCCTGAGAGAAGAGCCAGTTGTCTCTTAGACCACACAAAACCCTGCGACTGGGTCCCGTGGTAATCTCATCGCCACCTAGCACAGCTGCTCTGCTTGTTTGCCGAGATTGACTCCTGTAAGAGGTGCTCTTTCTGTTCCTTCACAAGCTACAGTTTGCTTGTCTGGCATGAAAGATGCCTTTGAAAGATGCAGGGAGTGTATCAACAGCTCTTAGGCAATAAAATGAAACGGTTCCCCCTCCCCAATGAATTTCCATTCTAGCAGGAGACCAAAGTTCCCATGGACAAACATTTCCATACTTTCTTAACAAAAGTACAGTGAATTAAATCTTTCACCATTTCCTTAAGCGGAATCTAAAGCTAAGCGGAAAAGCAAGTCTTACTAGTATTTAAACCAAATATAGTCAGTAGTATCAAAAACAGTCATGTTCTCCTACCTGCATTAAAAAAAATGTTTTGATGATGGGAGGGTCTTTATCTAAAGTATAATTTTGTAAAAAATAAAGTTATATTAAGGGCTTTACAAAATGATGGACTAATGTTACCCCTCTTCCATGTACACACACACATTGCATAATGCATGACAAAGATATGAAAAGATAACCAAACCATGACTTGCCTAATAAAAGAAAATCATCCAAAAAATTCAAGGATCTAAGGAACATATCCTAAAAATAGTCTGTGGTCTTTTTTTTGTATTGTTTTTTAAGGTCATTTTCTTTAGAAGCAATAGGAATGAAATGTGCTCATGCACACACACACAAACACACACACCAATACACACAAGAACTACTAGTATTCTGGTGTACTCCCTATTTGTAATTTAAAAAAAATTCTAAACCGTAAAACAAAAACTAACATATGTGCGGAAATTAAAATTGCTTTTTTCTAGATGGTGAAATTCTGGACAAATTTTGCTCATGTCCTAACATGTGCTTAGAGTGCCTGGTAGGGAATCAAGCGTGGTTTGTAGACACATGGGTCCCCTGCCTCAGCACAGCAAGAAAAAAGTAGATAATCTCTAATAGAAAGAAAAATTTTAATTGTTAGTTCTCATTCACTTTTTTCAGCAGATATTTATTAAGTAAGTATAATAAGCACAGGGGAACAGTAATGAATCACATGGGCAAGCCCCAAGTGGCAGTCATTCAGGAAGAACTTTCAAGTGAGAAAAATTCACTTCTAAATAAGTATTGCTAGTCCGGAGGGAGCATTTATTGGTGTCAAACTAGCCAAGAAACATACTAGTATAAATTGGAAAGTGGAAGTGAAATGGATATTAAAAAACAAATTACAGATAGAGATGCATTCTCTGTCTTGTTTTCTCTTTTTAACACAAAATTTACTCATCAGTTTTTCATAACTCTGCTTAACTTCCTTACAGAACCTAATGTGAAAATTGTATATTATCCTCTCAATTTAAAAAAATGAAATAAAAGAGAAAAGAAAAAGAAAAAGGAAACGTTCTCTTTCAGGAAGATGGAATAGACTTAGTTTTTCCTAATACTATTGCTAAATACAACTAAAAACAATCCTGGACATAATATAGAAAACATATGTAAGGAGACTTGGAAAGATGGAGAGAAGAAGACAGAGCAGTCAGGGACCTCAGGACCCGAAGAACTACTCAGTGATGGCGAACCTATGACATGTGTGTCAGAGGTGACACGCAAACTCATTTTTTTGGTTGATTTTTCTTTGTTAAATGGCATTTAAATATATAAAATAAATATCAAAAATATAAGTCTTTGTTTTACTATGGTTGCAAATATCAAAAAATTTCTTTATGTGACACGGCACCAGAGTTAAGTTAGGGTTTTTCACAATGCTGACATGCCGAGCTCAAAAGGTTCGCCATCACTGAACTACATGGTGGTGAGGTCCTTGGATTTCATTTTTGCCTCAGTTACCCAAACTTACAGCTGAGGAAGTATGGGAACCAGAGAAACCAACTGGTCCAGCCCAGAAAAGCCCAGCTAAAGACTGCCCTTTCTAGATGAAGGACCAGGGAAGGGCAGTATCTAGAAAGACATCACTTTGCTCCAGACAAACACCACAGAAACACAAACCCCACCCCTGCAAAGTCCCAATGGGAAGCCTAGTGACCCATCCTTGCTGGACTCAAACAAAGCACCCCAACCTTCTCTCCCTAATCCCAGGAAGTATAGGGGAGCCTGAATAGGATTTGAAACCTTCATTCCTATCAGGCGGTCCCACACCCGCCATAACATAGTGCCAGTGCAGAGACTACAATAGGGAGCCTGGACTTCCATCGCAGCTCAACAGTAATGAGGCACCCTTCATCAATCCTGTTACGGCTGTATCAAACAGAGGAGGCCTAGTGGAAAGTCAAGACCTTAGAAATTTCCCAGCAGCAACAATGCTACCTCCTCTTCCTCCTCCTCCTCCTCCAACCTGTAAGGTGCCAGGCAGGGTAGGCAACAAACCACTCCCCCACTTCTAGCCAGGGAGGTATGACTGGAGGCCTATTGGGGTACAGAATCCCTCACCCAACCCAGCAAAGTCATGAAGCCCTTTTACTTAGGTGTTAATGGTGGCCGGAGAGGGAGACGTGGACTTCTACCTACACCTGGCAGTGACAAAGTGTACTCATCTTTCTCTGCATCCAGTGTCTGATAACATGTACCCAAAAGTCCCAGATTTCAATTGAAAATCACTTCTCATACAAGAAGCAGGAAAAGCTCAAAGTAAATGTAAAACAATAATCAAGATGATAGAGATATTAGAATTATCTCACAAAGATTGTAAAGCAATTATGAAAACGCTTTAATGAGCAATCTAATGAGCAATCATGAACATGGTTGAAACATCTTTTAAAATAATTAAAACAATTAGCAAAATAAAAGAAGATGTAAAGAACAACCAGATGGAAATTATAGAACTGAAAAATATAATAATGGAAATAAAAAAGTGAAGAGGGGAAAAAAATCAGTGATCTGAAGGATAGAGCAATAGCAATTCCCAAATTTGAACCACACAGAGAAAACATACTTTAAAAAAAGTAAACAGAGACTAAAGCAAATGTTTAATATAAAAGAAAAGATTAAATATCAACATATTATACAAACATTCATTAAAGCAGGAGTAATAACATTAATATCAAAGAAAAGAAACTTTAATGCAAAAAAAATTATCAGAATCAGAGGTAAACATCATAAAATTATAAAAAAAAGACAATCCATCAGGAAGACATACAAACCCTGAATGTTTATACACAAAAAAAACCCTGTAAAATGCAGAGTAAAAACTGGTGAATAGAAAAGAAAAAGACAAACCCATGATTATAATTGTAAACTTCAACACAGCTCTTGCAACAACTAGACAGAAAATTTGCAAGAATACAGAGCTCAAAGACATCATCAACCAGTAGGATCTAATAACATTTTTTAGAATTTTCTACCCCCAAATAGCAGAACACACCTTGTTTTAAAGCTCCCACCAACATATTCCAAGATAGGCCATATCCTGGTCCATAAAAAAAAAATCTCAACAAATTAAAAGTAAGTAAAACCGTACCTTGTATTTTTGGACCATAATGAAATCAAACTAGAAACCAGTAATAGAAAGATAACAGAAAAATCTCCAAATACTTGGAAAGTAATCAACTTACTTCTGAATAATCCATAAGTTAAAGAGGAAGTCTCAAGGGAAAAAATACACTGGAGTGAATGAAAATACAACATAACAAAATATATGGGATGCAGCCACAGCAGTGCTCAGGGGGCAAACTGATAGTACTAGTTGCATACACCAGAAAAGAGAAAAAGTCTCAAACCAATAATCAAAGTTTCAACCTTAAGAACCAAGAAAAAGAGCAAAGTCAATCTTATATAATAAAAGGCTAATATGCAAATTGACTGAACAGCAGAACTATTGGTCACTATGACACACACTGACCACCAGGGGGCAGACGCGCAATGCTAGAGCTGCCCCCTGGTGGTCAGTGCACTCCTACAGGGGGAGTGCCACCCAGCCAGAAGCCAGGCTCATAGCTGGCAAGCGCAGCGATGGTAGCAGGAGAAAGTGTAAGAAGTGACGGCTTAGGCCCATGGGGAACAGGCCTAAGCCGTCAGTCAGATAACCCCTGAAGGCTCCTGGACTGGGAGAGGTCACAGGCCATGCTGAGGGACCTCCCCAAGTGTACAAATTTTCATGCACCGGGCCTGTAGTCTGAAATAAGGAAGGAAAGAAGTATTAAGGATAAGAGCACAAATAAATGAAATTGAAAACAGAAAAACAATAGAGAAAAATCAATGGAGCCATAAGTTAGTTATTTGAAAAGCTCAATAGACGTGGTAAACCTCCAGTAAGACTTACAAATAAAACAGAAGACACAACCAACTTTAGGAATGAAGCAGGTTATATCATTACAGACCCTGTACATATCCAAAGATAATAAGAAAGGGAAAACTACAAACACTAACTCTCAGAACCTAACTTAGATATAGTGCACCAATTGTTCAAACCACAAATTATAACTTACCCAATATGAATTGGAATATTTGAATAGCCCTATAACTATTGAGAATATTAAATTTTTAATTTAAAAACTCCCTCTAGCCCTAACCGGTTTGGCTCAGTGGATAGAGCGTCGGCCTGTGAACTGAAAGGTCTCAGGTTCGATTCTGATCGAGGGCATGTACCTTGGTTGCAGGCACTTCACCAGTAGGAGGTGTGTAGGAGGCAGCTGATCGATGTTTCTCTCTCATCGATGTTTCTAACTCTATCCCTCTCCCTTCCTCTCTGTAAAAAATCAATTAAATACATTTAAAAAAATAAAAATAAAAACTCCCTCTAAAGAAAATCTCAATT